AGGAAAAACAATATTCCCTTGTTTCTAAACTATCAACATATAAATACACAAGTACAGACTAAAATTATCACAGGTATCACATCCACTCATGTCCCAATATAGCATTATTCAAAACTGAAAGAATACATTGTTTTGTTTACCTATGTAAGGTTTTATGGTCCGTCTTAAAAACTTTCAACCTGTTCTTAAAATTAAAATTTTTTGTTAGCTTTTCCTCTTTTCTACTTCAAAAATATACAGTTTATCATCATTCAACCTGTTCTTGTGTAAAGGTGTACTGTTAGTCTTACTGTAAGAATATGGTGTGGTTACTAGCAGATGTGCTGTATAGATCACGACATTACCTAAGGTGAGTATTTCTGGATGACAACATGTTTTATTTACATTACATTGAAATACTTTAAAACTAGTGTTAAAGCTTTAAAACTTTTTTTGGTTGAAAAATATTTTATACTCTTGTGAAGTCTTGCAACTTTACTCTTAGCCTGACATGTTTTTAATTAACTAACCAACAGATGTATGGCAACATGTGAAGGTTTCTCACCTTGTGATATTCTCCCATGTAAGACCAAACTAATAAAATTCTCCAGTCATTAAAATATAACAGATGTAGGACTAGCAAGTAACATTGTCAAGTTTTGTTGCTGGTTACTTAATGACAAATGTATTAGTAATCAGGTGATTAACTTCTAGATGTCAGAATAATCACTTTGAAAAAAAATCTAATATTGATTGTTACAATATCAGTGTTTCACAACTTCCTTACAAATCAGTATACTAACCATTAACAGCATCAGGTCAAGAAAAAACATACAAGTCAAAAAAGATTCCAAGGCAGGGATTTGAACTCTGAATCTCTAGCTAACAAGGCACTGTTTTTTTTAAAGCTAACTACTAGTTTTATTGTTTCTATGATTACCATGATAACTTGTCATCATTAGATACTTGATGTTCATTTTCCTAAGTTATTTGAAGCTTTTTTTCCCCCATATGAATAACCTTGTGTTAAAATAGGTGAAACGTAACTGTGAATTTGTTTACTGGTGTAAAATACTTTCAAAAACTGTAGTCACTTTGGACATGTTATAGTATTTATGTAGAAGCTGGCAGGGGTAGGTAGTTTTAAATTTGGGAAGATCAGATAGGATGACCATCAGAGGCTGTATTGTAACATTCCATTTCTACTAGAGGGAGCTGCTGAGGATTACATTATATTTATAGAAATAGGTCTTGCTGATTTTAAATTTATATGAAAATGGAAAATATAGAAATTTTATTTGGATGATGGTTGTATGTTGTGGTTTTTTCTAGTGAACATGAACTTGCCATGATGCCATTTTCTCTGATCTGCAACACGTGTGTGTGAGAAATGTTTTACCGTGTGTTTACTTTACAAGTGAGAAAGCACAAAAATAAGAGTTATGTACATATTAAATATATATATATAGACTTCTCCATTAGATGTGTTAAATTCATAAAAAATTATTGGACTGCTTATTTGAAAATCCTGCAGGGTTTTTCAGTATTGTTGTAAACCTTTAGTAAGGAAAGTTCTGTCTTTAAGTTAATGAGATCTGGTGTACTGTTGATACAGTTAACTGAATATTATTTTATTCTGGTATCTTACAAATTATGGATTATATGTCAAATTCATTTGTTATACACAAATTAAAAAATTGTATTCAAATGTTTATTAGAAATGGATAATATTCCTCAGCAATATATTGATACACCTACTTTATAAGCACTACAATAAACCAGGCAGGTGGCAGCACTGCCTATGAAAGGATGGCTCAGGTTGTTTATCGAAATGGTATTTTAAATATCTCCTTAATAGGTCATCATAACTTTACAACACTATAAAGTGTTTCCTTTTATAACAATATCTATGTAATGATTGAGTTACAAGTTCTGGGAATGTCTAAATATCATAGCAAAAGTTTTAATTTCTGGTTCTTTCTTCTGTTTTTTTTATTACATAACTCAAAAACCAAATCAATGGTGTCAACCAATTTCACTGACATACTTTCAAATGTGTTATTAACTAGCAGTAATTTAAAAAAATAATTCTATCATAAATGATATTATTACCCTTTGAAGTTAACTTTATTACAGAAATTTGGTATTTCTTTAAAAAGCTTAAGTACAGGGTGATACAGGAATTACCACTCAATAATAGATATTACAGTTGGAACAAGTTCTGAATAAAACCTTCCATGTCTATTGAAACACTGCATTAAAAAAACGGATGTAAATGTTAGATGGCTAATATCAAATCTTCAAAAACAATGCAAACAAAATAGTAGGGATGGCATTTGCATCACCCCTACATAATAGCACAGGAAAGAATTAACATAGAGCAATATATACAACTATTCAATTGCAATTATGTTTAATTTATCCTATTTTTGTTTGTTAACATTCTACTACACTGGCTGCCTGGGCTATTATGTAGGGATGATGCAAATGCCATCCCTACTATCTTGATTGCATTTTTTTGAAGGAATGATATTAGCCATCCCTACATTTACTTAATCGTATGAAAAGTTTTTTCTTTACTTGTTTTATATCAATATATTACATATGCTTTTCTCATAGTCCAATACATAAACTTTACTTTGAGTACATCTGCTGTATTTACACTATATCATGTCTATTTTAATTACCATACATCCCCAATATAACAGAATCCTAAATACAATGCTGTAGTTTAAGCAGGAGTTGATGAGAAGATGAGACTAAGCCATTATACATTGTATGCTTAGATGAGACTAAGACAATATGACATATATTTATCTCTAGTCATTTGCAGCATAAACTTTTTTCATTGAATAAATTCCAACTCTGAAGAACAAAATGTTTTTTTTTCTATTCAGTGGTACAATTTGCCATCGAGACGAAACATACACATCCAGGCTCAGTAAGAGTTAGTACACTAATTGTACCATACAATATTTTTTAGTTTATATAGTACCTGTAATAATACACACACACACTCTTAATTGGAACATTACTTTATTAATAAAATCAAAATGAACGAGTACATTTTTCAATAAAATAAATGTTCAACAGATATTAACTGAAGTTTATTACAAATTAAAGAAAAGAAAGTGTTCTCTTCCTTAATGCATTTCTTTATAAATGAAAAACCAACACATGATATTTCTCTATATATATACACTGAGTGGTCACAAGTAAATATACACCTAATTTTTCGTCATTTAACTGATTTATGCTAACTAATTTGTGTTCACAGA